TATGGTGGGAATTATTTCACTCAGCACCTGCCATAGAAGACTGTGTATTGAATGATTCCTGTATTCCCTTCCAGTCCTATGTCCTGCTTTCCTATGACCAGGGAAGACAAAGAAACCTGCACCTCACATGTCTTGCTGAGGTCTTGGTACCCGAGGCACACACTGAGCCCACATCTACACAGACAGGGATACTTCCTAAAGTCTTTCCCCTTAAATGGGTCTACTTTCCCTGTCTTGGCCTCACTAGCATACCACTCTTTCATTACCCCATCATGCCCGGGCATCGCTTTTTGATCTCAGCCCAGGAAACTCGTGCAGACCTCTCTGTAATAAATGTTTACAGGGACCAAATGTATCCTTGGGTTCACTGGGGAAGGCCGGAAATCAGAGAGTGATTAAGAGCAGGAAGATGGCATTTCAGCTTCTTTCTCACTGAAGCATGTGGTTTGTTTGAGACTGGGCTCTTTATTATGTATTTCTTCAGATTTAACTTACAGGCTCTTTTTCTTTTCCTGTTCTGGAGCAAGCTGCTTATATTTCACAGCTTTACTTGAAGCCACAGCAAAAGCTGTGCTGGAAATGCTACAGCATGAGTCTGTATCACAGTTCAGCAAATCAGACACCAAATCCCTGGTGCGCCTTGGCAGCTGGGCACGCTCCAGACCAGCCAAGCTGTGGCTGGCAAACCAGGGTGCTCCTGATTCTCCATCTCCTGGGAGCACATCACTGGTAGCGGCAGATCAGGACATGAGATAAGCAAGCTAGGGATCTCTTCATTAACCTTATCTTTCCCCTGTTCCAAAGCATCTATGTAAAAAATACTCCATTTGACACAGCTGTTTTTCACAGGGCTGAGAGCCACATTGAGGCACAGATCATCCCTTTTTGGTTCTACTTCCACTGAGGGGCCCTGGGAACTGGGCAGGGAGACAGCAGGCTTTCAAAACCCAAGCTGTGAAGGAGCAAGAACACTCCTAAAATGTCCTTTCTAAAAGGGAGCCTCCCTTTTCAGTTTAAAATGCTATCTTTGTTACCACCCTCCGTAAACTCTCTAGCAAAGAGCTGAATGTTATTAGAAAAGAGCTGAGTATGGGTGGGTAGACAAGAAAACAAAAGGAAATGGAAGTGCTGGAAATTGATTTTCCATTTGAATCTATTCTTTTTTTATCTTATTTTTAATAAGATTTTATGAGTTTATTGCATTGCTTTCTATTTTCTTTCAGGGTGTGTTATCTTTTGTGACTAAGTTTTGACAAAATAAACCTAAGTTACTAATTAAGGGCAGAATTGGAAACCCAAAGATTTGCTTCTCGTCAATGCCAAGTGGTAAATCCTTTAATGCTCTGGGATTTTGCTCTATAGCTCTAAATTTCCCATTGGTATTTAGTAATCTGCTGATTGCCTTTACTTTCATTCTTTAGTCTTCAGAGTTTTCATGTTAAGGCGCTCACTTACAGTAGCTCTGTGTGTTAAGGGCAATGAGTTAAAAGCTATTGGGTTTTTATGAAATTCCAACTTTGTTTTTTCTATTGAGTTCCCAACTACTGTGTTATATCATACTAATAAGAGCTGTACTCTGGCTGGACAATTGGCAAAGTATTGCAGAGTCCTATGGGAGCCATGACATCATTTTCAATTTGCTTATCTGAAGTCCTCCAAAATAACAGGGTGACTGGTGAGCAACTGCATTGCATTTTCACTCCAACCAACTCACCTCTTCCTGCTATGACGTTATGGGAACTGTGTCACTGTGCAGTTTACACCCAATGGCTACTCCCTGGAGGCCTCAGATGCACCTTTCTCCATCACCCCTCAAGGGAATGGAGGTGTTTAGTGACCATTAAGCCTGTCTTTCCATTCCTAAGGGCTAAGCAATAGCAATTGTGAAGGAAAGGACACCACTTCCTTTAATGTATGCCCCTCCAAGTTTGCCTGCAGGCTTAGAGACACCAACGAAGTGTTTCAGGCAGTTTTGTGATAGGGTCTCACAACCTACTTGACACTGGGATCAACAAGAACAGAGGCTGGTGAAACGATCTGGAACAGCTTGGGTACCTCTGGCCATGTTTGGACTGCATTAGCTCTATTTTTTAGTTTTCTTCACTCCAGCTAATAGTGAAAAAGATGTTCTGTTTACTGTGAGCTGAAGAAAGACGTCATGACAGAGCTGGTTTAACCTTTGCTGTGGGCTCTTCTTTGCTTAGGGAATAAAGACTGGAGGTAGGAATTTTAGAATTGGAGAGAGACTCTGACATTTTCCGTTTTACTCATTATCATTCTAAGCATATTGTTTATAGACAGAGAATCTTGGAAAAATCTGTTATGAAATCATCAAGTCCTTTTTTAATTTAACCCGAACTTTTAACATTTTCCATAACTATGTCCATCTCTCCCTTAGAAAAGATAATCTAGACACTAAGTTTTTAGTAAATTTCTAACACTCAGCTGAAATATTTTATTTTCCCTAGCTAAGGGTCCGTCCATGCTGCCTCCTCTTGTTTTGCAATGAGCACCTTTCAAAGCAAGAGGGCAATGCCATTTTTCACAATGCCATAGTTGTCATTTACCTACTTACTGCTCTTATACCAAAGAATCATTTAGCCACTAAAACTTGTACTTGCATTTTCTCACTTGCAACGAGAGTACACGTTTAACTGCTCCCTGCTCAATCCAGCATCTCATGTAAGGATCTCTCCCTCATGTCCCAGCCAGGTTGCACTGATGTGCTTTTAAGCATTGGTTCTCAGAATCTGGGTAGTTTAACCCTTTCTAGCAATTTAGGTTAACTAGACTCGGAGAAGAGATCTAAAGCTGCATGTTCTGAGTAATTTGGGAAAACAAAATTGCTTAGGCAGCTTTTGGTAAAACCAATGCCATAAGCTCCCAGCACCTGAAACAGCTGACTTGACAGTACAAGTGAGTGCAGACCAAAGGCTCTAGCTCCCTGCAGTGGGGTTGACATAACTGCATGAGGAAGACCTGTTTACATCACCGAGATAACCTATTTCTTTAAAAATAGCAAGGTCAGGGAGGCAATAAAGCTGTCAGCATGGCAATCAGTGGTGATTGTGTTCCACCAGCCACAGGGTGGTGGGGACACTCACCAGGCTGGGGACCAGAACAGGGGCTACACAATGAGGATGGCCACGTTTGAGTAAACAAAGCTTCGGCAATACCAGAGTGCTATTGTCTGCTGAACAGCTCTATTTGTGCCAATGATATTTCCAGGTTAGCTCCTCCTAGGCCCATAAAAATCTTCATTTTACTCTTTTTGCTGTTTTTTTTCTCTTTTTTTTTTTTTTCTTCTCAACGCAATGATGGATAGAGTACCCATAAAACCTCAGGGCATCATGTACGAAATCCCCAAGCCCTGAGTCAGGTGTGGAGCAAATGGTCACCGAGCAGGCTTCCACCTAGTCCAAGATTTGGCTCACATATGTCTAATTTCTGGTCACTGGGGTGCTCCACTCTTTGTTCACTGTGTAAATGAGCATCTGACCGTGGGAATATCTCATACTGAAGTCCAGGCCAAGAATGGAAAGCCATCAGATCTATTCAGCTAAGCAGCCTCATGAGGCACTCACACACTCCAGGTGGGAGCAGAGCCCAATATTTTTATTGTGCTAAGAGTATATATTCTCAGAAAGGAAGATGTTGTGTAGGGTTCACATCCTGTTAGAGCATCGGATATGTTCCAGCTATTGCCGTTTCCCTTTGGATAGCATGTCCCTTAGCTGAGTCTCCAATTTAGATGCCCCTGGACAATAAGTTACAGTGATTTATCTGTAGGGGGACTTTTGCACATGAGTGTTTTGGGTCAAACTGTACAGTATTGATATTGATTATATATGAGCAAAACAGTGTTTAAGAATAAAATATTTCTTGGTGTACCCAAAGTGAAACATAGGCTTGTGCCACTGGTACCACACAGCAAAGCTTTCCCTGTTAAATTAGGCAAGACACCAAGTCTTCACCAAATTTTGGGGAAATTTTTGATTTTCAGTTAATTTTTCAGCTTAAAACATCAGGGTTGGAGTTCAGAGATGAGAAAGTCCAAAAAAGGGCATTATCTTCATGTGGGTGAAATCTGGTTGAAGTGAGTGCAGATGCCATTGCCTTGTACAGCTTTCCCTTCCTTTGGTGATGGCTCAGCATCACATTCAGAATAGCTCAAGGTAGTTTTAATCTAAAATTCCTGACAAATGCACCCATCTTCTCTCATCCTGACCAAAATCAGATCGATGAAATAAACCGATTTGAAAGTGAAGCTTCAAATCCAAACTTCCATCACTGTTTAAAAGGGTTAGAGCTGGGATGCGATTCTGAGCAATTGAATGGGATAAAATTGTGGTTGACCACAAAATTTAGTTGCAATTCCAACAAAACTTTTTAAGAGCTTTACGTACCTTTGTTGCTTTGCATAATATTTTTGTGTGCCATCACATTTATTGATTTTGACAGGGACCATAAACAGGCATACAGTGAGACAAGGCTATTTCCATGGACTATTTTTGTTCTGTACTGGGGAAAGTAAGGGAGAGAAAAGAAAATCTGTTTCTGTAGGTTTTCCAGCTCAAAAAGACATCAGAAAAAAAAAAGTGTGTGCTTTTATAAATGGAATAGTTTATCAAAGCTTGCCTGTCACCAGATCCTAATTACCTGTTTGTATTACAGCTAATTACATTGATTCTCTATAGATGAGGTGGACTTCTAAAGCAATGAAGGAATTTAAACAGAATGATTTTTCAGTTTTGGTTCTATTTACAGACTGTGGTATGTCAATTTGAAGAAAAGCCAGAATCTGAAACTGAAACGCCAGTGTTTTCTTCTCACTATAATTGGAATCTTTCAATACAAGATTCCAATGTTTGAAGGTGTTCACTGCAAAGTTTTGGTCCTTTCCCATGAAGTTTCAATGCTGATGTACAAAGCATTAAATTCGATGTTGGCTGTCTCCTTCTTCTATTGAGCTCAATCGGGATTCTATACTTTGATTCCAGGCAAAGCACAGTCAGGCTAATGCTAAACTCTTCTGGCTGTCCAAAAGATGCTGTGGTCCAGATATCCTTCTCTGGATCTGCAGGCTGTGCTTTGCAGGTAGTACTGGCCTTTCCTGAGTCATCAGTAAAGTGTAACCTTGACTGAAAAGAGAAGTTCTCTTTCTTGGTTGAACAAGATAACAGTGTTGACCTGAAACACAATTGTTATTTAATGCTTCTTTGGTGCAAGCCTGTTTAGAAGCAAGTTGAATAATGATAATTTTTTTGAGGATAAAAAAATATCTCTTAATGAAGAGACTGGTTTCACCTACACCTCCTTTGCCTCAGGGACTGGGTGTGAAGTGAAGTAGCTCATCATCCATGGGTTTGCCATGCTATCCGTAAGGGCGTGAGAAGAGTCGTGTTTGTACCTCTGCCAAGCTATTCCCTGCTGGTCTTTAAGAAACCAACTTGCAAAAAGATCTTTCCTGCAGAGTGTTGCAAGGACTATCTTGAATTTGGCTTCAGGAAAAGGTTTTATTCTTTTTTTTTTTTTTTTTTTATCTGGATTGCTTTACACTATTAAAAAACCCCAATAATCACACGTTTGTGTTGCATGAGGCAGAGGACCTACATCACCTACAGTGATGGTGATCTGGGTGGCAATTATTAAGCACTAGAGCAACACATCAGCATTATTTCAAATCCATTCTTTCATCCAATGCAGCAGTAATATCTTCTGGACAACGGATTTTGGAAAAGTTGAAATGTTTGCTTTACAAAACAGACATAAAGTTTCTCCTTCAAGGTGCTAAATTTGTGCTGAGCTGGTCCAAAACACGACTGCATCTGGCTATGTCTCATGTCTGCTACTAAAAAAATGTCCTAAATTCCAGACAACCTCTGGGGCTTTGAAATAAAACTCATTAATCCTGCATTTGAATTTAATATTTGAAATTTTATCCTAATCTTTTTTTCTTCCACATGAATTAACTTTAGAAAACTTGGAAAGAAACACAGGAGTGCTTTTTTTTTTCTTAGGTTGGGTTTTTTTTTTAGAGAGAGAGAGGGAGAACATTCTTAACAAAGGGTATAAAATTAAACTAGATTTGACCTCTGCCTTTAGCAGATTTTCCACCTGGTCTGTGCAGGAAATCAACTTCTATATAGCAGCTCTTTCATAAGGAATAACATACATGAGTCTGTAAGTGACAGTTTTTCTTGGGTGGACAACAATGTTAGTTACATTTTATGATTAATTGATAAATGTTTTGATATGGTGCCTGGGCTCTGAGTCAAAAATCACTCTAGTTAGATGATCCAGCGCTTGGGAAGCTGAGCCAATTACAGCTCAGGCACAGTGAAAACAATTCTAAAATATTTGAGACTAAAAATGTGCATAGTTGTTAAGGAATCTTGCACGTGGGTGTATGGTGGTATCCTGAATTACAACTGCTTGGTGGGCCAATATCTTGAGGAATGCGGGGAAGTGCAGAGATTCGAGACTCTTGCATCTATATTTCAAAAGACTTGGGAAAACAGAAGAACCACATGGACTCTTGTGGCTGGGCACGTGCTGAGGAAAACCAGATCGTGGGCCAAAATGTACTTTTAGTCCCTTGGGTTACACAAATCCCTTTGCTTTTTTGGGGAAGGCTTTAGGTTTCAAGTCTCCATCCCTTGACTCCTAACTGGCTCCTCTAGTCTTGCTCTTTTCCCTTTCAGGCTCCAGAACTTACTTTCTACACCAGGCTTCCTAACTTGTCCTCAGATTCGCACCCAGACTCTAAATCCTAATGTTTTTCTAAATGATGTACAAGAAGTAGGACTTCATCATGCCTGTGGCTATAGACCAGATTACCACTACCAGTGCGCTAGCCTGGACTCAGAGGTTGTGGGTGCAGCCCAGCATTGGTGTGAACCTACTTTAGACACAGCTGCTCTTTGTAATGAAGGTCCTCTAGAAGAATAACTTACCTTGCAATTAAGGGCTGCTTTCTCACATTATTAAGAGAACAAAGAAACAGTCCATATTTTTCTTTCCACAGGTAAGTGAATATGGAGTCATTTTTTGGGTAGGATTTTGGGGTCATCAACTCAAAGTCCATTTGGAAAATTCCTTATTGCAGGTTGCTAATGACTTTGCGTGTGACACACTGCCAGCTGTTCCCAACAAAGTCAGTGGAAACAGCTTATCTATCTTCTGGTAACCCAGCCTTCAGGACCTAAAATATTACATGGAGGTTTTGAGGGATGCATGCTTGGGTTTCAGTGCCGCCGCACATCTGGAAACTGGGAAGAAAACTCCGCACATCAGAAATCCTAGTGGTTGTTAGCTGTTTATCATGCATTCTTCATCCAAGGATCTGATCCTAACCCCAAACATTTTGTTGCCTTCAGTGGATTTTTATTCCAAGGTCAAGACCAGGCATCACTTCAATATCTAATGGGTATAGTTACTTGTGGGAGCTATTTCATATCACTAAAGCCATAAACCCCTGAAGGGTGTAGATTTGGACAGCTATTGAGGATGTTCAAATAAACTTAGATCTTTATATTACTCCACCTTCTTATGACACTTGGCTCATGATATACTGCTGTGTCTACAGAAGGTGGTAAGGAGAGCAGAAGAACATACATTCACATGGAAGAACATCTTTCTTATCCTTGTTTTATGGTGAAGATCCATAAAGAAGGATGTTTCTCTAGTCTGCTAAGTGGTCAAAAATGCAACTTTTCCAGTAATTCCCTTATTTCAGGCACCCTTTGTATGGTATTGTACTCTTTTCCCACCCTCCCTCCATCTTTGACACTGTTTTGATCATAGCTCTTGGATCTAAACACACTTTATTTAACACTGGAGGATTTCTTCGTTGCTGATATGACAGGAAAATTTCTAACAACATACTGTAAGCTTTACTGTTCATGACTTCTTAATCATGCAGATTTTATTTCATGTTAAGCTAGCAACTGAACTCTTCTAATAAACAGAGTAAAATCTAATTAGGCTACTGAAGGGGAACAGAGGAATTTATACTCCTCCAGACACACAGACATTAGGAATTCTTCCTCAAACATACACACAGGCTTTCTGGCAGCAGTCTCATTCAGAAAGTGGCTAATGATCATCCTAATTTGCACTTAGCTGATACTGTTTGGAGCTCCTTGCAGATGGAAAATATACTTCTTTCGTGAGATCGTACAGGGTAGCTTGGCCTTACGGATTGTGCACAGAGAAAAAGAAATCCCAATTTCTAATCCCAAGGCTCGCACTACTTGCTGTGTGGTCTCTCTTCCTCTCTCAGTTTCTCCATGCACAATCTTACTTATCCGGTTCATTCATGGGATTGTGATGATTACTCAGTCATTTGGCTGTAATGTGTTTTAAAAGCAAAAGGCACAATTAAAGCACTGTGATTAGAGACTCAACGGCACCTCCAAAATATATGTATGAGAGATTGACATCAAAGATTAATTTAGCTGGTTTCTTGTCTTCATTGGGCCCATAATTATTTCAAATGTTGCTGGCAAGAGAGCTCAAAAACTGGCAAAGCTTTGCCCCATCCAACCTCAAGGGAAGCAGACCCCCATGCAAGGGGGCACATCTCCCCACAGAGAGGACATATAGCCAGACTACATCCAAGATGTCAGTGATATCTCCATGCGCACAATGTTTCCTGGCTTACAGACCCATGGTTCATCCAGAGATTATGCCATCTGAAGCTGTTACCCCTTACAACCAAAACCAGCTCATCTAGCCAACGGGTTCAAGCTTGGGGTCTCTGCTACTTTGGATTGGGATTGATGCATCGTGCAAGGGGCAGAGAGTCCCCCAGCAAGTTTCCTTACAGTTCCCTGCAAAGGACAACCCAAATGTCCCACAGCAGCCCTGGCCTCAACACTAGGAATCATAAGGTATAGAGCCAGAAACTGGCTGTAGAAGTGTGGGCACCATGGAGCCTACCCAAGGCATACAAAACACTGAGAACCCATGCTTGAGGCTTTTCCCTGAGCCTGCCCATTTTCCAGTAGTCTTTCTTCTGCTGGAGAGCTGTCATCTCCTTTTCCAAGACTGTTTAGCTCTTTCTATGTTGCTTGTCAGGATAGTTCATATAAAACCATTAGTCATTCCTTGGGTTTGAATGGAGTGCAGAGAGAGAATAAGACTGGAATAAAAGCTTGGGTTTGTTTATAAGTAAACAGAACCTGACACAGCCCCTGACAACCTCAAGAGACATGTTTCTATTGAGTGCAATAAGGCAGGGTGCCAACCAGCTCTGATCCCCTGGAGGTGACTGGTTCAGGAAGCATTCAGGCCTTACTGAGTGTAGGTTTCTTCAGGGAAGGGTATAGCCCCAGGAGTAGGAAGAGAAGACCTGCGTGCTTCTATTTAAGATTTTGAATAATCATTTAGAAACAAAACAAGCAAAAGGCCCCAACACCAAACAAAAACCCCAAGAAACAACCCTCCTGCAGTGGGCTGGAGCTGATATACCTTCTCATAATACAAAGAGGTTTTGTGACATGGAATCACTGGCCTGAAACCTGGAGGCATTGCTTGGTTTTAAATTATACTTTATTCAGGCAAAACTCCAGTTGATGTGCGAGAGCGCTGGGTCATATTAGGATTTGGCCCACAAGGACAGAGGAGAGCCAAGCTTAGAATGTCACATAAACATATTAGCTAGAGACTTGGCTTTCTCTGAGGTCCCAGGGTGGAATAGGACCACAATCTAGTCTTCTGTGATGCATACAAGGAGGTTAAATCTGCCCTGCATGGAGTGCTAAGAGAACAGGATCCAAGCATATGCACAAGCATCCGTACCACCTCTTCCTCTTCCCGAAACGTCTAGATTATCGTCCTTTTTGTGTGACAGGTAGAAACAGAGCTAGACCGCTTAACCTGCTCTGTGGGGGATGAAAAACTATTAGAAATCAAACCACCAGCTTTTCATGCTGAAGTTGAAAGCGTGTTCTTCCTAGTGATGCGGTATGAAGAGGGCATATTGTTAATTTAAAGCACACTCTATAGCTTTTTGCAGGAGCAAAGTACTTTTGAAAGTTTACAGCTGTAGTAGAAATTCCCTGTAGCTTAGGAGTCAGTTTTCTGCCAATCAG